AAAAAAAAAAAAAAAAGCCCAGAATGGCTGAGGTGGCAGGATACCTTTTGGCACCTGGAACAGAGGTGATGGACCCCAGGTAGTCCTGAGCCAGAGTGCAAATGTTGCCTCCGAGCCCGGCGTTCCTCTTGGCTTCCTGACGCTGTGTGCTGTGCGCAGGCTCACCTCTGTGGTGGAAAGAGCAGGCGCGGGCACAGGCGGCAGCCACCATTCATCCATGAAATAAACACTGAGGGGCTTGTTATGTGCCAAGCGCTCTTCTAGAGACTCAGACTCCACCATCTTGGGATGAACTGCCTTTGCTCCATTAGAGGTTGAATCCTAGGAGGCTGCTGATGAAGGATAACAGAGGTGGAGGGATCACAGAACACACTGGGTACATTGGGCTGAGAGGTTATAGGCAGAAACAGTAGGGATAAGGACCAAAGTGTGACAAAGGGTGAGCAGTCTGTAGTGGGCCGTTGTCAGAGACCAAGGAAGGGATGAGCTGCAGGGGCATCTGAGGGGGGAGAATGCCAGGAAGAAGCAGGAAGCTGGAGGCTCGGCCTGATGGAGCAGGGTGGGGCAGCTGGAGGGGAGGATGCCATGTGGGATGATGTTTTTAGGGAGGTCATCCCTGAGGCCCCGGGTCACCACAATCAGCTGGCTAGTGGGAGTGGAGTGAGGCTGTACACGCTGCTAACAACACTTCCTTTTCCTTGGTCCCACAAGCAGGTGGGGCACCCAGATAAGGCCCTGGCAGTTGAGCATGCCATCTGTTTTTCTAGTAAAGTAGAGCCCACAACATACAGTGACGGGCATACAACAGAGGGGTGCCTAGGGGCAATGTGGTGGGGAATGCAGGTGTCCCCTTTCAAGGCCCTCACACTTTATACCACATCCCTTCCTGAACGTCAAGGGACTCACAGAGTCTGTGCTGAGCACAGCGATGCTCCTCAGAGATGCCCACGTCTTAATCTTTGACCCCGTGGATGTGTGATTTGGCCTCAGTGACTCTGCAGTGGGATCAGAGACATTGTTATGGAGAGCTGATCCTGGGTTGTGTATGGACGCCAGGTAATCATGAGGGGTCTTTCTGGAGGGAAGCCATAGGGCTAGATCACAGGAGGAGAGGTGACCGTGGAGGTACAGTTAGAGTGTGGGAAAGGAGAAGGTGCTTTGTGCCTGTAAAACCAGCAGTAGTGGGGCCTGGCTGTGATGATGATGAATTTCAGGCCAGCCTGGGCCTGTATACTGATTCTCTCCAAGGCCTCCAGAAGGAACCAGCCTTGCTTACACCTTGACTCCAGCCTCAGTCTTCCTGGGCTCTGAAGGGACTTGGGGTCCTTAAGTCCTCCATACTGTGTTATAGGGTCCCTGGGTTTGACACCAAAGAAAAAGATATTGGTCTCACCCTCTGTTGCTGAGGATTCTGGAGGGCCCTAGCAATGGCGCACAGAAAACAACGTGTGAAGAGAGGAAAGAACAGAGCCGAGGCCAGACCAAACAATGTAGGTGTAGATGATTGGCTCTGTCTTTTTTAATTTGTTTAGTTTTTTTTTGTTTTGTTTTGTTTGTTTTGCGACAGGATCTCACTATGTAGCCCTGACTGTCCTGGAACTCACTATGTAAACCAAACTGGCCTCAAACTCACAAAGATCCACCCCCACCCCACCCCACCCCAGCCTGCCTCTCCAGTGCTGGAATTAAAGGCATGAGCCACCACATCCGGCAAGTTGCTCAGTCTTGAAGGCCATCTTGTACCTGTCTTGGGTCTCCTGAGACGGCCCTGTCCAGGTTCTACCCTATGTACATACGTTTCTCTCTCTCTCTCTCTTTCTCTCTCTCTCTCTCTCTCTCTCTCTCTCTCTCTGTGTGTGTGTGTGTGTGTGTGTGTGTGTGTGTGAGATTTGGGTATTTTGGTGCACATATGTGTACAGATGCAAATGTGCACTTTTTGCATGTGGAGATCAGAGGGTGTCCCATGTCAGTCCTCAGATACATTCCACATTTTGCTTGAGACAGGACTTCTCTTTGTTTTAGAATTCATGACATAGTCCTGGCTGGCTGTCCTGCAAGCTTCCAGGGATCCACTTGTCTCCAATTTTCATGCACACACTTTTTGTGTGGATACTGGGGATCTGACCTCAGGTCCTTATGGCATTAGGTAAGCGCTTTGTGGGCGGAGCTGTCCCTCCAGCTCTGTTCCTTCGGTTTCTTTAAAGTATTTCTTTTACTTGCAACAACAACAAAAAAAAGCAGGTTGACCGGAGCAATGATCTCGTCTTTTTTTATCACATGTCACTCTGTTCCGCCTATCCTTGCAGACATCCTCCTGTGATTAGGACCTCGTTCCCATCCTAGTGGCCTGGAATGATGAACGGACTTTCCGGTCCATGAGGGGCTGGAGTGGGCGGTAGTTGTTTACCATCACCTCTTCTTCCTCACCGTGTCCAGAAAACAAGAGTGTGCGGAACGCTGACAGCTGGAATAGAGAGCAGCCAGAGTGAGCCGATGCAAGCATGGTGGGAGCCAGGTGTCCCCCCCATGCCTTGTGCAGTCCCCCCCAACTGAATCAGGAGTGTCCCTATGTGACCCCCAGAACACAGTATAATGGACCAGTGACTCCAGAAGATTCATTAGAAGCACTGTAGCTGCCGCTCTGTTGGGATTGGAGAGCCCACAGATATGACAGAGCCCCAGTAGCCCCATAGAAAGTCCATAGAAGGGTACTGAGGCCCAGCCAACAGCCAGCACCAACTTGCCAGCCACTGAATGGGCCACTTAGGTAGGGAAGGAGTCCTCTGGCCCTATGCCATGATGTACCTTTTTCTGCTAATGTATACATTTAAAAGCCCCATCCCCCACTGAACTCCTGTGATGAGATGGGCAAGAACTCAGGTCCAAGTTTGTATCACTTTTGTTCTTACATGGACTTGCCCAGGCACAGCCTGGTTGGGCTATTTAACTAAGTGTCATCAGGACAATGATCACACCTGGACCTCAAGGAATATGATGTATGCTAGCCCCATCAACACCCCAAGTGTGATCACAGGGCCTAACCTCAATGACTCTCATGCAAATGGAAAAATCCTTCCAGCAGTTCAGGAACACCTAAAATATGCCAGTGGGGCTAGGGAGGTGGTTCAATCCTTAAAGTGCTCGGGTCTTGAGTTTCAGCCTCAGGATGCATGTAAAAAAAGGCTACCATGATGGCGTGCTCATGTAATCCCAGGGTTGGGGAGGCAGAGCCAGGGGATCCTGAGGCTAGTCAGCCAGCCTAGCCTAATGGACGAGTTTCAGGCCAATGCACCCTGTCTCAAAACACAAGGTGAATGATACCTAAGGAAGGACACCAGAGGTTGACTTTATACCTCCACAACACACACAATAGATGTGCCAGAGAATGGAGTCTGGTAATGCCCCCCGCCATGACATCTTGATGAAGATGCAGGCAAAAATGGCCTCCTTTGGGACTGAGACTCAACTGCAGTGCTCACCTGGCTTGGGGCCACCTCAATGGGCATCTTCTGGATAATCCAGGTGACTGATTCAGCCAGTGGCGGGGTGGTGAGGGAGCCAGGGTAGGTCCAGTAATCCCGGCAGGCAGGCAGCAGACAAGAAGGGTCAAAGGGGCCCACGTCCACCTGTGTACCCTGAGATAAGAGTCACAGCCCTGTTAGGGGTCCAGCACAAGGAGGCCAGGGAGGAGCCAAGTGCCTCTCCATCTTACCACAGCTCTGATGGCCACCAAGCATGCTGAATAATGGCTTACACAGCCACCATTGTCATATGTGGAACCAGAAGGAAAATGTGACTCTTCTTTACAAGAAAAGGACTCCTACCAAATGGCTATATTTCTCTTTAAAATTATACCTCCTTATA